ATGCCTGTCGAAGACTGCACGAGCTTTCCAGTTGCCGTGCAAACCTGCCGCATTCAATAGACCCAACATACCCCGCACCTCTCAATAAATGAAACGGCTTCGCCTGCCACGCTTCCGTTCGGTTAAATGTCACGCTACCAAGCTTCCGAAATACACACTTCCTGAACAAGCGGAATGCTCAGCAGAATTCAAATCCGACTGTCGCACCTCCTCAACTCGCTGCCTGGCCAACTCACTTCGAGACTCTACCCGCACGTCCAGCAGTAAATTCCCACCCTTCTCAACCAGCCTTGCACTTCATTTCACTCGCCTCTAGCAAGCGTACTGCCTGAACAGCAACTCGCCCCACTGCCTGCGGTTTCCGGTTCTCTAGCCCATACTGCAAAACGGGCTTCGGTTCCTCAACGAAACAAAACCCCTCCCTCTCCATGATCCGCACGACTAAGCATATTCCAATGCCTGTCTGTTGAAGAGTGCAGGGCCTTTCCAGTTCCCGTGCAACCCTGCCGCATTGAGGGGACCTAACATCAGCTTCACCCCTCAATTCATGAGCCTGCCGCACCTACCACCAATCCGCTGAATTCAATGTCACCCAACCAAGATTCCGAACTACGCACTGCCTGAACACGCGGAATGCGCAGCAGAATTCAAATCGGAGAGTCGCACCTCCGCAACTCGCAGCCTGACAAACTCGCTTCGAGATTCTACTCCCACGCCAAGCAGTAAATGCCCAACCGTCTCAACCAGCCCAGACGTTGATTTCATTCGGCACTATCAAACGTACAGCCTGAACAGCAACTCTCCCCACCGCTAGCCGGCCCCAGTTCTCTAATCCCTACTGGAAAACGGGCTTTGGCTTGTNACAGCAACTCTCCCCACCGCTAGCCGGCCCCAGTTCTCTAATCCCTACTGGAAAACGGGCTTTGGCTTGTCAACAGAACAAAACCTCTCCCTCTCCCTGCTCCACACGACTAAGCATATTCCAATGCCTGTTAAAGAATGCACGAGCTTTCCACTTCCCGTGCAACCCTGCCGCATTGTATACACCCAACATCAGCCCCACCTCCCCATAAATGAAACTGCCCCGCCACCCACGCTCCAGCTCGCTTCAACGTCACCCAGCCAGCCTGCCAAACTACACACTCTCTGAACAAGCAGCATGCGCAGCAAAATTCAAATCGGGGAGTCGCACCTCCGCAACTCGCCGCCTGACCACCTCACTTCGAAACTCTACTCGCACGCAAACGCGTCAACGTTCAGCCTCCCCAACGTTCCTTGCAATTCATCTCATTCGAGTATATCACGCGTAAAGCGTGAACAGAAACTCTCCCCACCGCCTGCCATTCCCGGTTCTCTAGCCCCAAACGGAAGGCGACAATCAGATCCTCAACGCGGCGAAACATTGCCATCCAGATGCTCCACACGAGTAAGCATATTCCAATGCCTGTTGAAGAGCACAGGAATATTTCATCCGTCTTCCAAACCAGTCACATTCGTGGTCTCCAACGTCAGCCGCAGCCCTCAATGCATGAAACTGCCCCACCTGCTACGCTTCCGCCCCATTCAATCTCACCCAACCGAGCTTCCCAACTACACACTTCCTGAACAGGCGGAACGCGCAGCAAAATTCACATAGGACGATCCCACCCCCACAACTCGCCGCCTGACCAACCCATTCGAGACTCTACTCCCACGCCAAGGAGCCAATGTTCAGCCTTCTCAACCTGTCATACAGTTCATTTCACTCGCGTCTACCAAACGTACAGCCTGACGAGCAACCCTCCATACCGCCTGCCATTCCCGGTTCTCTACCCCGTACTGCAAGACGGGCTTCGGGTCCTCAACGAAGCACAACCCCTCCCTCTCCATGCTCCACACGACTACGCATATTCCAATGCCTGTAGAAGACTGCAGGAGCTTTCCAGTTCCCGTGCAACGCTGCCGCATTGAGGGGCCCCAGCATCAGCCCCACCATTCAATGCATCAAACTGCCCCACCGGCCGCGATTCTGCTCAGTTCAACGTCACCCAGCCAGCCTGCCGAACTACACACTCTCTGAACAAGCGGAATGCGCAGCAAAATTCAAATCGGACAGTCGCACCTCCGCAACTCCCCGTCTGACCAACATACTTTGCGACTTTACTCGCACGTCAAGCAGTAAATTCCCACCCTTCCCAACCAGCCTTGCAGTACTATTCACTCGCCTCTAGCAAGCGTACTGCCTGAACAGCAACTTGCCCCACCGCCTGCCATTCCTGGTTG